TTGCCTTTCACAGGTTCCTGGGATGGAAGTGTGGACCCCAAGTGGCAATACTGAGATGTGGTAGGAGCTTTAAGAGGGGGAGGGCTTAAGTGAGTGGTCTTGTGACTAGCTCCTTTCTCTCTTGCCATGTGATCTTGCCCACCTGCACTTGATCCACCACTGTGATGACATCTACCCTGAGGTGACGTGGCTACAGCCACCTTCACCAGAGCCAGCACAATGCTGTTTGGCTTTTTAGCTTCCTGAACTGTGAGCTAAGTAAACCTCCTTTCTTTATAAAGTACCCAACCTCAGCTATTTTATTAGAAGAACAGAAAACAGACTCATTTATAACCCATAGAGAAACAAGGACCCTGGTATTCGTAGAGAGCCAACAGTATCTGAATTGGGATAGAATGAGCTGGTTCATGAGAGAGTCTGGCTCCATCCTGAGAGTACCAGGGCACTCTGAACACAGAGATGATGGCAAGGTGGTGTGTGTCAGCGGTGCAGAGGAAAGAAAGCTGTTTTGTGATGCTCAAGATCTATTCTGACTGGGAAAGCCATTTCCTACAGTTATGAGAAGCTCCATGTTCTCGGCCTCTTCAGCGGCATTTCTTAAGTATAAATGGTATCTCATTTTTTTTAATTACTAGAAAAATACTGATGAAAATGAAATTTCACTGACTGCACTGGCTTTCAAATTTGCTAACAGGAGATGGTGGGCTAATTGGGACTGCGAACACTGCCCAGCAACGGTGCTGGGGCCAGGGCTCAGGACAACCACCAAGGAGCTGCTCTTACATCATTTTCTATTCCCATTGTTAAACTCTGATTGGAAACTTCACAAATGAGCACCAGTTTCCTTGCCAACCTCAAAAGCACCTGAAAAGCTCCCCATAATTGCAGGCCCAAAGGCAATTAGAAGTGCCCACGGAGGGCTTGGACCATGCACATAAGTAGAGGGCAGAAGGCTTGGAAACACGCGGAGATGAGGACCACATCGCAGGCCATTAAGTTCATAGCACTGCGTCCTGCTGAAAGATCCTTGTTGTTTCCATTCTAGAAAAAATATGGCTCCAAGAAGGCCATAAGCATTCATGGGAGTGGAGACTCCTTATCTGGGCAGCGTGGTGACCCAGGCTTGAGTTTCAACCCTTTCCCTGCCTCTTCTCCACTTCCTCTGGTCCACCTAGGTGACTGGCAACCCTGATCATGCCTGTGCCAGCCTTCCTTTCTGTCACCTCCCTTCCTTTCCCTCTGAACTTACTCCCCCCATAAAACACAGTTTTCCAATTTTAAAGGTTTTTAAAGATCTTTTCCTCTGTTGAAAATTCACCAATGTGTTGTCGTCCTTCTTCTCAGAGAAAATACCCGTTTCCATGACCCAAAAGACGGCCTGAAGGGATCCCTGCCCACTTCTACCCCTGCTTCTGACATTTGTCTTCTGACTGGTTATTCTGCAGTGTCCCTGGCTTTGCTTCTGGGTCATGGATGGAGCTGAGAGGGCAGAGCTGTGTGTAAGCCTTAGTCCTGGGGGGCAGGAGGAAAGTCAGGACAGGCAGGAAGACAGGAAGACGGGGACCACGGCTCAGATGTGCCAGGTCTGCAATGTGGGGTCTTGATGAAAGGAATAGAAAAGGGAGTGGAGAAGAGACCAGGAGATTTTAAAATCTGTGCATTAAATGGTACACACCAAGCATACACGATGTGTCCCGCATCTAGGCCTTACGATAACTTGTACTCTTATCCTATAGATTAGAACATAGAAGCTCATAGAAGTTAAGGATCCTGCAGTGTCCACATAGCTAGCAAGTGGCAGAGCTGGAATTTGACTTAAAGTCAGTTTTCTTTCTGACTCCAAAGGCTGAATCCTTTTTCACTGCAGGGAACCTTAGAGGAGGATCCAGCAATGCAAGTTCCCATGTTGTTTTGATTACAAGGCTGTCCCCGTCTCCACAGGTAAAGGGTTTACAGCATTTATATCAATGCACATCAGCCCTCATCTCCTCCCAGACACATAATTACATCGTCAAAATGATCAACTACCAACAGGGGACCATGAGCCACAGAATCAAGAGCATAGGCACATGTGAGTATGTGATATGACCAGGGTGGGGAAGTTCCGACTGGGTGGCTTTGGGTCAACTTCTGTCCTTTTCAGAGCCTTGGTTCACTTGCTTATTCATTGGGACTAGTAACACTTTGTCAGAGGAGTGGACACACCCGTGTGTATAAAGGGCCACTTTGTAACACTGGCTCTGAAGTTTTCCACCAGGAAATGACATAAGGCCCTTCTTCCATTCACAGTTCAGCAGCCAAAGCAAGATATGTGGCCACACCTGACTCCAAGTAAGAGTGGTCCCAGCATATATCTGGAAAGAGGACCAGAAATATTTGAATACCCAACATGCATTCTTTCTACCATATTCTTTTAAAATAGATGCATATTTGGTTTTCATGTTCCAAAACTTTTGTGGCATGACTTTTAAATAAATTGTAACCATGTATCATATTAGGTATTTATAGAATGACTATACCCTCTTGAGATGTAGCCTGTGGCAATACTGGAAAAGGAATCATCTCTCAGTGAATGGTGTCTAGGGCCGTGAAGAATATTCTCCATCTTCACCACATTTGCCAAAAGGGACTTCAGAACTGCTATGGACCAACACTGCTGGTTTCTGTAACTTTCTTCTTCTTAGTGGAAATGCTCATTTCACTAAGCCTCATTCCAGTGTGTGTGTGTGTGTGTGTGTGTGTTGAGGGGAAGGTGTGGTAGCCATGGTGGTTGTAAATAATTTGTTTTATTGGTTTATAGGTCTCCTGATCAAGTGAAGACATATTTTGGCTTGCTATAGACCTCCTCTGCACGTCACTTGGATAGATTACCAGGAATCACTCAGGCAGCCTGGACGTTAAAACTGGAGACAGTAGCTGGTGAGACGTTGGGTCTGTCTTAGGAAAGGGTAGGTGCATTCTTACATGAGAAAGAGAGTCAAATAAATACTTGTCGACCAGGTGGATACACTGCCGTGTTTATCAAAATTATTTGTTCCTAAAACATTTTCAGTTTTTCTTCCAGATATATCATCACTGTCACTTCCCTTCCCTGTGAAAGTTAGCTGCGACTTGCTTTAGCCAATAAAACAAAACAGGAATACAAAAATGATTGGGATCACTGATAGTTGGAAGCATTAAAAGCTTTTCTATGACTTGCTATGTTTTATTTTCCTCTTTTTAGGTACTCAGCAACATGGCTGCTCAGTCTGCTTGGATTCTGCTCTGAGGATAGAGCAGAGAAGAGAAGATCCCTATTGATTTGCAGTGGCTATGAAGTTAGAATTATTTTAATTAATTGAGAATTGGGGCTTGCTTATCATTGCAGCACAACTTAGCCTATTGTAACTGATTCAAGGATCATCTCAAACCACTTTTTATTTGGTGGGACAGGTCCCCCACTCAGGGGAGCAGGTATGTGACTAGGAAGTGGTGGTTGTAGCTGGCCTTGCAGAGTTGGGGACAGGTTTCTGTGGCAGGTTAGGATGACAGGGATCCAGATGTGGTCTTTGAGGGCCTACAGGGAGCATCATGGTAAGGTTCATGGGCGACATGACTAGGGCCCTCTTTTCTTCTGGGCATTCTCCTGGCTATGTTCACTCATAGCTACAGTAGTATCCCAGCTGGAGCATTGAGCCACAACAAGACCAAGGGCCATCACTCTAGCACAGCTGTGTCCAGTGGTTGATGATTCCTATGCACCCTCTAATTTAGTGCCTTGCTATACCATTTAGTTCCATGGAAGCCTGCCTGGTGATATTGTTCCCTTTCCTGTGTCCTGGGAAACCACATATTGAACAAACTCTCATCCCTGAGTTCTATTGAGCATGTCACCACCAGATGATGCATGTCAGATTGAGTAGGTGACTTTAGCTCAAAACCACCTTCTCTCCTCTCCCTTTCTAGCTTCATCTCCTTCCTGGGTTTGGCCTCCGAAGTGCTCCCAGGCTGTACTATGTGAACCTCTTTCCAACTCCTGTTTCACAGAGCAGCCCAGAACTCACCCAATTTGTTTTTATACGAGCCCCACATTTATCTGGAATGATGGGACTTGATGGGTTAGGTGGACTTGAGCACCAGCAGATGTTGGTATCTGCATGAGGTTCTGGAACAGTCCCCTGGGGAGAGTAGGGGACGACTGTAGGATATCCCACCTCTCTCCTCATCCTCCCACAGTGAATGTCTAAAGTCACAAATCTTGGGAATTTTCACAGAATCCTTTGCCACAAGGCCGGGTCATATCTCACAGTGCTGATCTGTTTTTTTGGGAGCACCCTCCTTCCCCTCTGCTATCTCATGAGAATCCTAGTCCTTGAGACAGCACAGGCGAAGACTCCAGCAGATCTAGTGAAAGGCACGGTTACCTGCGCACATGCACAGAGGTCTGGCTTTCCAGCTTCCACATCCTGAATTGGGGACTAGAAGGCACAGCTGGGGAAATGAGGAGGGAACGGAGGGCCCACCAGGGAGGGGCTAGGGTTGAGCTGACTTTGAACATGACCTCCATGGCCTTATGATCTGTGGACGACTCCTCCCCACAGCCCTGGGCATTCATAAGTCCCCTTGGACAGAGGGTTGGGGACTTGGGCCACTTGTGTGGGGATAAAGGGAGCCAATCGGCAATTTCAATAGAAGATTCTACATTTAGCCTTTGCTCTATGCAGGCTCAGTTTGGAACTAGATAAGATTCCAGGAGAATATATGGCATTAGCCATTCAGAGGCAACCCTGAAACTGCCCATGTTGATCCAAAATCAAAATCTAGTCTCAAGCCAAGTGCTTCCTGATTACACAGCTTTAGTGTCTGGATTAAAACTTAGGTTTTATAAGACCTATTTTATTAGTCAGGGCTAGCAGAACATTTTTTTTCCTAGCCAACTCTTACACCACTTGCTTTTCCATCAGCATCTTTCATAGACTGTACACAAACATAGTCAGGAGAAGAACTCCACTTGGCGTTACCTTGCCAACAAGCACCGACAGTAAGCTGCATGGCTATGTGAGACGGGTGAATGGGCCAGTCGTTGGTCACCAGGTAGGGCTCATATGTGGCTCCATCCATGTACAGCGTAACCACAGGAAACTCCACATTGATGACATAGTAATGCCACTCTTTGTCACAAATCTAATGAAGAGAAAAAATAAAAAAGAAAAGAGTTAAAATCAAATACGCAGCTCAACATCAAACAGCCTCCTTTATCCTAATTGTGAAAGGTGGGGAAGACATTTCTGGGTCAACAATTGTTATTGCAAAAAATTCAAGGAACATGGCGGTTCACATACGCTTGAGGTTATAGAAATTCATTGTCAGACACAGTGAGAAGAGGAACACCTGAGAACCCAATCCTCAGGTGAGTAGAGTGGCCCTTCAGTTTTCTCAGAGATTGGCTCCAAGGTTCCCTGCCAGGACCCAAATCTGCAGAGGCTCAAATTCCTTATATAAAATGATGCAGTGCTGTTTGAGTCAGCTTGTTTGCTGCTGCGTCTAGAAGACGGACAAGAACAATTGTAGAGGAGGAAAACTTTATTGGGGGCTCATGGTTTCAGATGTCTCAGTCCATAGATAGCCAGCTCCGTTCCTCAGGGTGTGAGGTGAGGTCAAACCTCATGGTGGAAGAGTGTGGCAGAGGGAAGCAGCTCACACAATGATTAGGAAGCAGAGAAAGACTCCCTTTGCCAGATACAGACTATATACCCCAATGCCCACCTCCTCCAGCCATACCCTACCTGCCTTCAGTTACCACTCAGTTAATCCATAACTGGGGATTAATTCACCGATTAGGTTAAGACTTTAATAATTCAATCATTTCACATCGAAACCTTCTTGCATTGTCTCGCATGTGAGCTTTTGTGGGACATCTCATATCCAAACCGTAACAAGTACTTAAATATGGTCCCCACACATCCTCCTTCATAGTGAAACCCATTTTTAGATTACTCATAATACCCGATACGATGTAAAGGGTCTGTAAATAGCTGTCATGCTGTGTTGTTTAGGGAATAATGACAAGCAAGAACATCTGTTTTTGTTCAATACAGATGCAATGTTTTTCCCAACAGCTTTGATCCTCTGCTGGTCGTAGAATCTGCGCATGCAAAACCTGTAGATACAGAAGGCCAATTTCATTTGGCTAAAGGCAGGTAATCTTGGTCATATCATTACCAGCTACCTGGGCTGACAAGATTTTTGATGGACAGGTAGGGGCGTCAGCATAAATTGCTTTGAATAAAATTTCTCTTATTTCTTTAGTAGAGAAAAAGTCCAGTTGGAATCATTTGTCTAAGTTTGGGGATAGATGGGATTCTTTTTTAAAAAAAGGTGCTAAATTGAATGCATAAATAAAGATGAAGATAAAGGAGAGGAGGAGAGGGGGGGGGCCAGAAAAGGAAAGATGAAGAAAGAATCAGGAATTAGAAGGGAGTGAGAGACGTCAGGGTTTGTCCACCCCCACAAAGCCTCAGATGTTAAAGGCTTGCTCCCCAGTGGGTGGTACTTTTGGGAGACGGTGGGAACTGGAGGAGGTGGGGGGGCCTAGCTGGAGGAAGTAGGTCACCCGAGGCATGCCGGTGAAGGGACCCCAGCCCTTCTTTTCTTGCTCGCTGCCCTGAGGTGAGCAGTTGCTTCCACCATGAGCTCCTCACCAGGATGCTCTGCCTCTCCACAGGCCCAAAGACAACAGGGTCAAGTCACCATGGACTGAAACCTCTGAAACTTGAGCCAAATTTAACCTTTCCTCCCTCCCTGTAAGTTGTTCATCACAGGTATATTGGCCACAGAAATGGAAATCAAATGAACAGAGAGGCAATGAACACAGAAAGAGGAAGAAGTGCAAGACCTGGAGGAATTGGAACCTCAGTCTTTGTTGAAGGGCTTCCCTGAGAAGCCGCTGTCATCCATTGGCCCTTTCAACTCAAGCAAAATCAAATTTGACGGGGAGAGTCTTCCCAGCACACTCAGCTGTCCCTACCCTGGAGCACCCAGGGAAGCAGGATCTCTATTGGACCCTCCTGGCCTAAACTCAGGGCAGGGCACTGTCACATAAGTCCTGACAGCCTGCAGCACGCAAGACTCTTGGTTTCAGGCTTGGGGACTGGTTTTAATGGCTTAGTAGAAATGTGGGGGAGTGGGCTACAGTTATAATTCCTGACCTCAAGAGGCTGAACTTCTAGAGCATCATCCAAAATCAAAGCCAAGACTAGTACATCCTGGGAAGGAGACAGGAAGCATGAAGGCAGCAGGACTCTGGGACGGTGTCACCCTCCTCCCTCTGCCCTCCTTGTGCCTTGGAGTCATGCTGGACTCTGCCATTCTCCCTCTGCACCCCATGGAGTCCTCCTCTGACACATCTTGTCTGCATCCCCTGGTCTCCATCACCCCTGCTGTCTGTGGCAGGGCAGACAGATGAGTTCCGCATGAAGGTGACCCTAAGGTGAGGCTCAAAGCCCTCCCTACATCCCACTATGGATTAAATGTGCTGTTTCTCATGAATAGATAACACCAATAGGGATGCTAAATGATCTATTCCTTTCATTTTGGAATAAGAATTTTTCCCTTAATGTTCTTTTTATATTGTCCTGTCTCATGTCTCAGAAAATTACTCCTTTTGAAGCCCATTAGCCTGATAAAGCCTGATGAATATTTTAGGAGGCTTTGGGAGGGTCCAGAAGCATCAATCTGAAGTCTTGTGACACTAAGTGAGAAGCCCTGACTCAGGTGACACTCCTCTTCTCCAGGATGTCCTGGGCCAGACCCTGATTTGGTACAGGAATCTTGGGCTGGGCATGTGACCAGGGAGAGGTGATCTTGGGTTGTAGGGGTGGCACAAAGGGAAGTCTGTCTAGGCTGGTGGAAGATTGGGGAACTAAGAATATTTGAATAAAGATTCAATCCAAAGAAACCCAATGCAGCCTGGGTGTGGGGTTGGCAATTGAGGACAAACTATGGTTCACATCCTGGGGAGGTCCCCAGAGGCATCTGGAAGTCCACGTGACAGTGAGGTACTCCTGATCATATCCTGCAACCTGCAGGAGGTACAAGCCAACAGGCAGTATTGAGGGCTCCCCAGTCCTGGGCCCATTGTCACCCCCAAGGTGGTGCCATTCTTCATGAGACTGGCAGGTTGCCTCTGCATTCCACCTGACTCTACAGTGCCCCTGTCTCCAGTAGCTGGATGGAGAAGGTCGCTCTGGTTTTCGTTAATTTCACAACACTTAGCACTTTTATAAGACAATACCAAAAAATTCCCAGGAAGAGGCAATATGAATAATTTCATATTATCACAGAACTAGTAATCCTTCTCATTATTACAATTTTTTCCTCGGTGTTTTTCTTCCAGCTTTTTGAATCATGCTCCACTGGTCAGCAGCTGCTGTGGTGTCCTGCATTAAAAGAGTGACCCTGTGTGCTGAGCTGAGCCACTTTTGGGTGGGTGGAGTGGCTTTCCCCTTCCCACTAGCATACCCAAGGCTCCCAGCAGCCTCAAAGTTCATGCCTGTGATAACTTCAGCCTTGCTGGAGACTGAACTTTTCTACCTATAGCACTCCCATAAACATCCTGCGAAGCAACAGTTGGGGAAGGTATATTTTTTTAAAAAAATATTTTTTAGTTGTTGATGGACCTTTATTTTATTTATTTATATGCAGTGCTGAGAATCTAACCCAGTGCCTCACACATGCTAGGTAAGCACTCTACCACTGAGCCCCAGCCCCAGCCTGGGGAAGGTCTATTTGAATCACACTGTATGACAGTTTGAAAGTTTACATGTACCCCTTAACATCAGCATGAAAATACCTTCACAGAATTCATTTCAAATGGCTATATGATATGGAAATACTATAATATACTTAACTCCTCCTTTAGTATCAGATGCTAATTTTATATCCACTATGACAAATGGTGCTGTAATTAATTTCTTGTGAATAAATATTTGTTTGCATTTCTGATGATATCCTTAGGAAAGATGTCTGGAAACGGAATTTCTGGGTCAAAGATTGGGGTTATTTTTAAGGCTCTTGATACATATTGTCAACTTTTTTTTTCCTTGCAAAATATTGTAACTATTTATATTCCTATCCTCAGACTATGAGGATGTGCATTTGTCTCCTTGCCACTTTAAGTACTAAAAAGTAAAAGCAAGAAGGAAAGAAAATCAGAATTTGAAATTTGAAAAGGGATACATCTTATCTGCTTTTAATATGGGCTGCAAAAGATGGCAATATTTATATTCTCCAAAATGAAAAGAGAGGGATTCTGGGTGAGAGGAACAACCTGAGTCCAAACTCAGAGGTAAGAATGATTGGGAGCTGCCTGGTGAGCTCCTAATTGGGCCTCCTAACAGTCTTTTAGTTCCTACTGAGCTTATGGTCTGTAGATTTATCCCACCAAGTAATCTGTATTAGCAGCTAAAGGAAATGCCTAATTAGGGTTTCATAAATGTGGATCTATGATCAAGAAGAGACCTGCATTGACCCTCTGCTAGAACTACGGGGACAAACTATAATTGAAAAATGATCGAGCCAGAAGGCAACAAAAACAAATTTGTCAATGTTCATCCAAGACAGAAGGAAATTAGGCAAAGTGACCTTTCCTAGGGGGAGAGAAGAACTTGAATTCCTAACTGCTTGTGAGGCATTCACTGGTGAAGCTAGCTGACATCAAGCACATCAATGCCACCATCCCCTTAGATGATGCTCAGAAAACTTTACTCTCAGAACATCTGCAAATGTTTCCATTGCAGGTGGCTGTAGCTGCTCTCCAGCTAGTGAGTGAGTCACAAATCCAGACACAAATGTCCAGGAAAGGTAGTAGGGACAGAGTTGAAGGAGGTTGGAATTAGGAGCGGGCTGATATTCATTCCAAGCCATCAGGGGCCAGGGAAGCTGCTCATGACAAGAAAAGATAAAAAAGACCAAAAAAAAAAATTCTCTTTGCAGATACTGAGAGGCTGATCCACGTGCCCGACACAGGGCCAGATGGGGAGTCCTGACTTGGTTTCCCCTGTTAATCAGCTATTTTTGAACATGGCTGTTCAACATGGGACACGTTCACCTACCAACTATCGTGAATCAATCACTATATCTACTAGGGGCTGCAAGGGATGCAGAGTTTATGAGATATGTCCTTT